AAAAGGAAAAAAAAGTTATGACAAACCATCCAACCATATGTTAAATTTTGGTAATATAATGTTGATCAAATTTAGAAAGAAGTGTTATATTAACCCATATAACCATAAATATGGTAATAAATTATCAAAAAGTAATCCAGTGTAAAATATCGTTGATATTGATTAAAACATCGATGATATGTATAAGTAAAATTATGGGTTCGACAACAAGATGATGGAGAGAGTTATTGATATTTTGTCGATATTTTTTGTTGACCATTGACATAGAATATGTTTGACATCTTATCGATCGATATTTTATCGATATCTACAATTGATGATATCTATGATGACTTGCAACCTTTTTTTCTCTCTATCTAAAGAGTTTGACAATCGGTGTCTGGTTTAGACCAAAAAGTTAGGGTCACGATTCCATACACACATGTTAAAAAAAAAAATTTATTTTGACCCCTCCTTTATTATCTTTCTTATATATTTAATTAATGATAAATAATAATTGTCTAAGAAAATACTTATCATTGTTACGATGTATTTATATGAATTGTGCATGTCTATTAATCAATATGTATCTTAACTAGTTGAACTATAATCAAGTTAACATATTTATTTATTGTGATATATATGCTTAAAATGATATAGTTTATGACTTAACTAAGTTTTCTTGCCAATCCATCAAAGCTAAAGTAAACAAGGTTCTTAATACTATCCACCCCACAATTATTGAACTCAAACTTAAAAATAAATAAATAAAAATACTAAGCTTTTCTTAAAGTTTTATTTAGAAATTTACAAAATTTCAAATGCACGTGATATTCCTAATTTTTCTCATAATACTTATTGATATATTTGTAAATTTGAGTTATTGATATTAGCATCAACATCGACATTTTAAACCTTATGTGTATCTGTAGATTATAATCCTCACAATAATAGCTAAATTAGCCATTACGATTATATGTACCTAAACAGAAAAGACCAAATAAATACTCAATTCTGCATTCCTAATGTAATTAATTAGTTAATTAATATAACAAAGGCGGTAGCCGTTAAGCTAAAGAAATAATTGGTCCAAAATAATTAGGCTTCAACACTCCAATCAAATTTTTATATAATTTGTCTTTAACCATCCGTGTCTCTTTTACCATTTACTTGTCACGTTAGGACAGATGAGGCATCGGCCAACATTTCTACGATAAAAATATGACATATCATCATTTAATTAATGATAAAAACTACACAAATTTACAATTTAAAAATTCAAATGAAACGTGCCTAACTAAAACTTTCTAAAATAATATTGATAGGTGGTCTAAAAAAAAGTAATATCGTAGGTATGAAACTTCAGCAATTATGTTGATGCAGGATTTGAATCCGAGCTCTGATGTCGAACGCTCTAATGAACACATGCACACGCGAGAGATGTGTATATATTGGTGTGTTGTTAAACCTAACACACTTTGATGTTTAAATTAGACAAAGGGTTCAGTTGAGATTAGTAAAAAAGAGAGTGGTCTAGAACGTACCTCACGCCTTCAAGCCTCTCTCTTATTTATAAAGGAATCTCTCTTCAAGTTGGTTCGAGAGGACTACCTCAATCGAGTCAAGTCGGATAGTCCAACCCGATCAACTTGACCCCAATAGTTCAAACTCATTTCACATATCATAACAAATTAAATCTATAGACAAGATGACAATTCATACTTAGTTAAGGGTCAGCAACAATAGTCTGACCCAAAAATTTATAATCGGTCCACTCTCTCGTCCAATCTCTATATGAAGAAATCATTTTAAAAAATTGGTACAATGTGAACTGTCGATTTTATATAGTTAAATACCGAAGAGAGAAACTAAAAGTTATAGTTCTATCATACATCTAAGAATGTAGAGTGGACGATCACATTGAATAATTCTCCGTCTTTGTGGCAACAAAAATATAGGCAGGGGTGACGACGAAAAGACTGTTCTGCCCTTAATCAAACTCCACCACCGCCTTTTCACTGTCTGCATTAAATATAAAGCACCAAACAAAAGCCATACCCCTCAGCCTCAACATAGATATGTATAAATGACCCTGCAAAGATAATAGCAGAGAAGACCCTACAAGAAATTTAACAATGCCTTTGCCTTTACTCCACTTGACAAAATGCTGTTCTTTCTCTTCTTCTTCTTCTTCACTGAGATTCAAGTTGTTTCTCTGTCTGCAACTTCTTTTGCATCTCCCAGCTGCTAATGCTGCTATAAAGATTCCTCCCAGTTACTCGGTCCCAGCGGTTTTCGTCTTCGGTGATTCAATTGTGGATACGGGCAACAACAACAATCTCATCACGCAGGCCAAGTGCAACTATCCACCCTATGGCAAGGATTTCCCCGGCGGACAGGCAACCGGCCGCTTTTCCAATGGCAGGGTTCCCTCCGACCTCGTAGGTATAAATGAAAATTTTGAACCCGAAACTTTTACCTTTAGTCCTTATCTTTGAAAACTTTTCTAAACTTTCAAATTTATATTTAATAAATTTCGCGGTAATTGTATTTAACAAATGATGGTACCAGTGAAATATATTAGACACAAAATTTGAAGTTTTAAAAAGAGGTATAAAATAAATACAAACTTGGATTGAATTTAAAACTTTTAGAATCCAAACGACCAAACTTATAATTTAAAATTTTGATATACATGTATTTGATATCATTGGACCATTTTTTCCCCTTTATTTTGCCAGCCGATGTGCTGGGTATCAAAGAGCTGTTGCCACCGTATGCAAACTCGAATCTTCAGCCAGAAGACCTCATCACTGGTGTTTGCTTCGCTTCTGGTGGAGCGGGATTCGATCCTTTAACCTCCCAAACAGCGGTAATTAAGGAAAAATTATTTGATAGATTGAAACAACGTGGTTAACGATTTCACATCCTTATAAGATGTAGTAATGAAGTTGAATTGGATTTGTGAGTTTTCAGCCAGCAATTTCACTTGCGGACCAATTAGCGATGTTCAGAGAATACTCAAAGAAGCTACAAGGATTGGTGGGAGAAGAGAGAGCAAATTTCATAATAGCCAATAGCTTCTACTTGGTGGTGGCAGGAAGCAACGACATCGCCAACACTTATTTTCTTTCTCGAATAAGACAATTCCATTACAATATCAATTCTTACACTGATTTCATGGCCCAATCAGCTTCTTCTTTCGTTAAGGTAACACCTCATTCAAATCCCAATTTAAAAGTATTTTAACGTTTAGTCATCATTTTGTCGATCATTTTAACATTATGTGAAAATAACAACTCAAATATTAGGAAACAAAACACATAAAACTCTTATTTTTATACCCCATGAAACTATTGCTAGACTTGAAAGGCTTAAATTGATAGACTAATTTGTTTTTCTTCATCGAAGGATTTGTATGCAGCGGGTGCGCGGAGAATCGGGTTGTTCGGGGTTCCGTCGCTCGGATGCGTACCGTCGCAGAGAACGTTGGCCGGCGGGATCGAAAGAGCTTGTGTGAGTGAGTACAACAGTGCTGCAGAGCTGTTCAATGGGAAGTTGCATTCAACTTTGGATCAGCTCCAAACTATACTGCCCCAAAGCAGAGTGGTTTATGTGGATATTTACAATCCTCTCCTTGATATCATTCAAAACCCTGCAAAATATGGTATTTTCTCTCTCCCATAATTCTTGCTTTGTTTTCTCTCACCAAAACTAGGAGGGGTATATAAGGTATTTACCAATAAAAATTTGTAAAAATATTCCTCCACCTACCCCTCTGCAGTAGAAGTCTAGCTCTACCACGACTTCACGTGAGAAAGTCGATAGGAACTTCTACTAATCCATATGTAGGAAAGTATTAGGTTTGAAGAACTATTTTGGACAATTACTCGTTGATGGAAATACTTCAATTCAATGATTTAAGTTAAGTTGGTTTAGGTCATTTAACTCCTTTCTTTACTTAAAAAATTTGCTAAAGGAATTGTGGAAAACATTTTTAAAACATTAATTAAGAACTTTTATATCATGGGAAGTTACTAGAAAAGAATTTAAAAAATTTATTGGATGGTAAATTTTTTTTAATTATTTAATGAGAAAAATTAAAATAAGCATACAATTAAGATATTGGCTAAAGAATGATAATAAGTCGAACTTGATTTGATTAATCTAAATCCAAACTGATAAGTAAATAAAAAAAAACTTAGAAAGTTTAAATTTATTTGAACTGAATTCAATGTTAAATAATAGCTGATGTTATCGAAGTCTCAATTTTATGGAATTTCAATTAAAATATTTAAAATATCAACACTGTTAGATATTTCTAAAAAAATCAAATAAATATTTTATCTTTTTTTAAATAAAAATGATCTATATTAATATTATATCGTTAGTGATATTTTGTTGATATTTTTCCTATTATGTCGATTTTTTTCTATTGTACTATGAAATGTCGATTTAATTTTCATGTCAATGTCAAATTCATGAACATGATATAAATATATCGACACGTAGATGGATATCAATACCTCATGTGATTTAATTAAGTTGATTGAATTAAAGAGTGTATTATTTGACATTATTTTCAGGGTTTGAAGTCTCAGACAGAGGTTGTTGTGGAAGTGGAAAGATTGAGGTGACATTTCTTTGTAATAAATTTGTGAAGACTTGCCCCGATACAACCAAATATGTCTTTTGGGACAGTTTCCATCCCACAGAAGCTGCATACAATTCCCTCGTTGCCCCAATCATTCAAAAATATCTTTCTCGTTTTCTATAGTTTAATTCACCAAGTTTTACTTCGTTTTTCGACAACTTGTTACGTTTCGTGATCATTTATATAAACCGTTAAACACATTCATTCGGTTCGGCTCGATTTTGATCCAAATCAAAGTCGAATTTGTACGTGCGGTTTACATATCTTTCACTCAATATATGATGTGTTATCATTTGTTTACACACGATGGTGAGTTCATATATTGATATTGGATGTTTCTTTTTATATATGTGGGTACATTTTGTATCTTTATAAGAACCAAAATACCCAAAAAATTTATGACATGTTTTAAGTTGGGAAAAATTAATACAACGATAACAAGAAGAAATTTCAAACCATTTGACTTAACAATGTATTATTTTAGTTTAATTAAACTTTGTTTTGACGTCTGTGTTTTGACTTTGGTTCATTTTAGTCCATATAATTTCAAAACGTTCATTACGATTGCATCCTTGTACTTGTCTATTTTGGTCCTATACTTTTAAAAAGTGACCAATTATTAGTAAATATATATTTTATACACAATGTAAATTATATAATACAAATTTATGGTTATATTTCAAAAAATTTAATGAGTAAAGTGACGTACTAAAATTATGATTGAAATAAGCGAGATAAAAATGAAAATGAAGGGACCAAAATGATCCATTATTATAAATATATAGGAACCAAAATAGACGTTTTGAAAGTATATATACTATAATAAATAAAAAGTCGAAAATTAAACTAAAATAAACCAAAACCTATAACATAGAATGAAAATAGTATATTTAACCCTATTATTTTTCAATTGTAACAAAGAATTTGCTTTATCTCTATAATCATGATAATTAACCAGTAAAATTAGTAGAGATATATATACAAATCTTTTTACATTTATTCCAAAAAAAAAAAAAAAAATTGTGTCATTATCTCTGCATCCAATGAAGAGACATATTGGACCCTGGGCAATGACTCCTCAGTAACGAATCCGTCTACACCTTTAATTTTTGTATGTCTAAGTTCTCCCTGGTAGAGATGATTTTTCTTCTTCAGTACATAAATATGTGAAGGAGGGATTTGAATCCGACCTTAAGCAAGGAGTTAAAATGTTTTAACCGCTGTATTTATACTATATATGTATATATATGTTTTTTATAGAAATATTTTTTCTTCGTAAAAGTATTATTCGAGATAAATCCCTGTAATTAAATCACATTATCTATGAGTTGTTGAACTATATAGTTTAAATTATTAAAGTATATATATTCTCGACCAAAATGTTGGATATATTTAAATTTTATATGGTTGTTGAACTAAAAATAAAATTATTGCCGGCTATCGTTAAACCCTCTTTTTACCCACTTTATTTTCACATAACTTCATTTTTAAAATTTTAATTGGTTTTGTTTCACTATTTCTTCTATAATTTTCATTTTAATGATTTAGTAATTAAAAAACACTTCTAATAAGATTAAATACACTTTTTGAAGTATTACTGAACAACAAAGTATCTTATTATTAAATACTTCATGTGAAAGCTTGGTAAGAAATACTTTGATTAGTTATGACAATAATATTATTATAACTGGTATATAACATATAACATATGTTAAAAAAAGATTGTTTTTGAATATTAAAAAAAATAGTTTGGAGAGAAATTATTAAATATGAGTGACAGGTGTTCACAATATCAATTTCATTAAATGTATGAGAAGAAAATTTTATAAAATACTTTATAACAATTCATCTAATAATTATGACAGGCTGACAATTATGTTGCTGTGGTCACACAAAAATACATTTTCCTGTTTAAAGAGTATATATATTGAGTGAGGGAGATCAAGCTCCACTTGTGAAATAAAAGATATTATTAATTTGGAAGACAGGTAATTGTTGAACATTTATTATCATAGAAGAAAGCACCACATTATTTAGGGATAAGATAAAAATAAAATAAAGAAAGCCAAATTACAACTAACTATACAAAGAAGCCAAATAAATAATTAATTGAATTTTCAAAACACTGTTCAGAAAAGTTTTATTATCGTGGGATAGCTTATTTTAATTAATATATCACGAGGAATAAAAGTGTATTTACCATATTTTTAAAGAGGCTCGAATCCTCTTGAACTTTAAAATATATTTTAGTACCAGTTAATAGTTTACTTTTCAAATTAACAAAATTGTCTTGGAGAGATTTTCTATTCTCTTTTTAGTATGTTTATATAGAAAAATCAGTCATGTTTTTATTTTGAATTTATTACGATGTATTAAATTAATTAATTTAATACGTTTATGAATTTTGAGATTGCTACTTTGAACAAAAATTTTAAATACGATGGATGGGTTAAAAGTATTAATACCGATTTAAAAATATTAGGTTTGAGTTTTTCTCCTCTATGCAATAATATTTTAAATCGTTTTATGACAAGAAAATTAATTATTTGTAGTTGCCTTGAAAAGGTGAGACACTTTGATGTAATTGCCCAACCATATGCTAAATAGTTATTCATATTTGCTTCAATTAATATATATTTAATGGATATTATTTATGGTAGCTTGTTGGCAGGTAAACATCCATTCTCCTTACTTTTCCATTCAAATTAGATAATGTTCGCGTTTGATTTGAGCCTATATTTTAGTGGCGACAGGGAGAAGTAATTTTGAAAGAAGAGATTTAAGAATAATTAATTTTCTAAAATCACAACTTAATTGATACCTTAAAACCAATTTGATAATTATTTTATCTTCAGTTTTTATTTTCTTTTAGAAAAAGATAATGATTTCAATTTTCAATTTTCTGTTTTCTAAAATTGTTTTCGAAATCCTTAGTAAATTAAAAAAAAAAAGAGTCGTTTTTAAAAACATGTGTGTGATTTTCCAAATCTCATTTTGCTCCACTTTTTTTTTCTGACATATTTATGTCTAATAATTTTTTTCTCGCTTCGCTCTAAAATTTTTGTTTACCTAATTTCTCTCTATAAAAAAAATTATCTTTCTCTCTCTAAAATTTTCATATCTAAAATATTTCTCTCTCCAAAAATCTTATTGCTATATATTTATAATTATTTCTCAGCTCTTTCTAACATATCACTCCCATTTTTCTCTCTCTAAAAATTTAATATTTTTATTAACGTTTCTCATTCTCAAATTTCACATTTTATAACTTTTCTTTCTTTGTCTACTCCATTTTTTTATCTAAGAAATATATATCTTAAAATTTTCTCTATCTAAATGTTTTCCCTTCAATTTTCTTTCTCTTTTTATTTATTTACTTTCTATAACAAATATATTTTGAAGTTTTTCTTGTCCAAGTTAAACTATTGGACTAAAATAACATTTTGAAAACTACAGAGCTCATATATGTATATATATATATGTGTGTGTGTGAAGCTGAGAGATTAAATCCAACTTCTAGAGAATGGGTAAGGTATCTTAATTTTTGAGCTATACTTATACTGACATGTTGATTTCAACCTATAACCTTAAAAGAAGTAGATATCTTAATTGTTGATCACAAATCACAAATGGGTGATAATAATAATCTTTTAAGAAGTTAGGTTCACTTGAATTATAATACTCAGAAAACAAATTAAAGATGATTGAATACTAATCTAAGGCTTTTGACTAGTTAAATTAGGTTGAAATTAGTATTAGATTTTCATTTACACATCGATATATTTTTCATAGTTCTATGGGTAAGAGACGAATCAACATTTTCATTATATTATAAAAAAAATAGATAAAAAAATATAAAAAGATATCAATAAAATATTAGTAATATGCACATGATATTAATAATAAGAATTATAACTTATTTAAAAGAGTATGATGCTTGTTGTGTTAATTTAAATAATTTTTTATGATTTTTTCCATCAAATTTTCAAAAGATAGGGACTTCAATATTTTCATGACGTGACATCTAAAATCTTGGATTTAATGAAAAAGAAAAAGTACTAGTGGACAAAAAATATTTACAAATTAAAAAACAATGAAGGTTAAAAATGTCATATTGCACCATATTTTAAAAATATTTGTGTGAAATGGCGATTTGTGATTGGATACTAGCTCTTGACATCTTCATCTTGGGCAACTACTGCAAAACAAACGACCTAATTGATTGGTAAATTGCCGCCCATCTTTCAAATTCAGAGCTTCAACTCGATTCGCAGAAGGGAAATTGAGATTAGGGTTTTGGGTTTAAGTTTTAGGATTCGATTATTGGAAGATCAAAATATAGACCCCAGGAGTTCTGTTCGGTCCAAGCAACGAAATGGAGCCTATAACCTACGTTGTCGACAAATTAAAAGGTTTCGGAACCGCAAGCCATAATTTCATCGATGGCTTAGTTCATCGCCGAGAGAAGTCGTCTCGCCGGAGACCGGTAATGGATAATCTTTCTCCCTCGTCTGAATTTTATATAATTTCATAATCCGTGTTTCTTCACGTCTGAATATTACCGGTTCTTGCTGCTCCTATGATGCTGTTTTTAGTTTGTATTAGTCCTTTTTCTATCGGGTTTAGAGTAGGAAGGCTTTGATTTTCCTGCTCATTTTCTACAGAAAGTTTCGGCCTCCAACATTGAAGTTCTGTGTCGACATTGTAGTATGTTGCCAATAGCTGTCCTTCTTGATGAACATTTTGGCTGAAACTCTTAGCGTGTGTGTGTTTGGTACAATTTTGTAAGGGATTTTTGTAGCGCCAAAAGTGTTATTCTAAAAACTAGATTGTTTTCAATACATAAAAATCACTTTTTGAAATAATCAAATTGGTATATAATTATGTCTGAAGAATTGCTTTCAAGTTAATTCTCAAGTGTGATTGACTAGGAATATCTTTAGAATCACTTTATGGTAATTTGACACTTGTAGAATTACTTTTAGATGCAGTGCAAACCAAACAAACTTGTGATTAAAATCTCTTTTAAGAAAATGGAACCAAACACTCAAGTATTCTAATTAGAACTATGTTTGTAAAAAAATGTTTCAAGTAAAAAAGATATTTTTTAAAAGACGTATTTACATTAGAAGGTACGTCAAACTCATCCTTGGTGAACTTTAGAATCTATGTGGTAGTGCAAATGCCTCTATTTATGGCTTTATATGGCATGTGCTTGATGAAATGATCGGGAAAGTATATGATCTACTACAGGGTGACGAAGGTGTATCATTCTACCTGATGCTTCTTTTTTATTCCAAAACGAATTTCTTGCACATGGATATCATCTCAACAGGCTGACTTGCCATGTATTAGTTATGCAACTCTTAACTTCACATTTTCTCTGGCTATGTAGTTTTACCTGATGAGAGATTGCAATGATGTGATTTGTTTTAGAGTGATCCAATTTTGTTATTAAATTTCTGCCACTTGATGGCATAGTAATTAAAACCTTTTGCTGGTACGTTATTTTCAGATTGAAATCCTGAAGCGGCTGCAAAGGGAAGCATTTTCAGATCTGATGAGACTTAGGGATAGACAAGACAAGGTGGAGAAGACATTATCCTTTTACGGTACACAGAAGAGCAGCCCATTCCAGGAAAGTGCCACCCACGTTAAAGGAGAAGTTGATTTATTGGGTGCCTTGCTATTGATGAGTGTTATTGATAGAAATAGCTGCAATGCACTTTGTAGAGCAGGAATATCCACAGGAATTCACTCAAGGTTGACTTTTGAAGCAACTGTACGAGAGAACGATTCTCTTGTTGCAGAGTTTGTAGCCAATCAAAAGGCCATTGTGGATTTTGGTGTCCATTCTGGAAGTGAACTTACTCTATCTAAAGTTTTTTACAAGGCTAGTGTCGGAGATTGGATGTCTGCAATTGCAATTCCTCTTGGAGCTCGATGTCGAGATGTTGCAGTAATAGCAAATCCTTCTCATCAGGTATGATTAAATTGCAATTGTGACTTTTCATGATTCTATCTAATGTAAGAATTTGCTGTACGCATAAGCATATGCAGTTCTATATGAGTTCATTGGACTAGTATTTAATTTTATGTTATGTGGTTTTTGTTGAGGTAATAATCTTCATCCTAAGTAGCTAGGATGGATGGGTTAATCACTCCATTAAATTCATATGGAACCTGATAATCATCCTTAAGTAGACTGTGTTTATCAATAGTTAGCTAGTGAATTGACCTCTATGGTTAGATTGACATGGGATTGGAAGGCAAACCAACCTCTTGAGAGTTATAGGAAAAAGGGGAAAAAAAGACAGAAGTTACAGGGGACGTTGCCCCTTTGATCTAATTTATTAGTGTTTTCATGCAAGAGTTGTTACTTCGAGAAAAAAGAGAGTGTAACAGACTAGCGACTTTTTGCGTCATTCTCTTTTGCTTTTACGCATATTCCTTTCAAATTATAATTAGGGTATTGATATTTATTAACCTACCACTTGGTAGTTATGTTGTATGTTTTAATGTGAGAGGAGTGCTTACAAATTTTGTCCTTAGAATTTTAATGGTGGTATCTATTTAGTCTCTAAACTTAAAAAAGTTATAAGTATACTTCTAAACTTTCAATTTTATTTTTAACCGCCCTTATTTGTTAATTATAATTTTTTCTATGTTAATGTGATACGTCGACTGTACAAATGAGTAATTATTTGATGCAACATAACAAGACTAACACATGGTGAACTAGTGTTCCTTGTCGATTAAATACAGGCAGGCGTGCTAAACTCAACTGTTACCGTGTTAACTTTCTTACATATATTTAATCCACTTGGCAAGGTCTCTAGTTTGCCACTTGTTGCCATGGAATGCCAAATAATAACCCATTAGTAAAGTCAAATTGCCATATCGTGTTAAACTAAGTTAGTGATAGAGTTTTTAAAAATAAAGTTGAAAAGGTTTGAAATTTCATAGACGTGATTAAAACTTTTTAAAGTTTAGAGACTCTGTAACATAATCATCAAAATTCGAGACCAAAATTATAATTTAACCTATTTAATATTACTGTTAATCTTGAACTCGAGTTATTTGGTGGTACTCATCTAAGAGTGTGTTATTTTTTTGGCTTTTAATTTATGAAGTTAATCCTAATGGTGCTTCTATGTGGTAGGAAAAGGGTCTTACCGATATTTCATCTTTTGGACCACCCCTTTTGGATCAGCCTAGTGGTGGTGCCATTGGTTTAACTGTGAGAAAATCCAATGTTACTGCTTCCTTAGCTCAATTTATTTCTACAGAGAGAATACAACCGAGTTTCGACCGGATTCAACATTACCTAAGTACTTTCGGGCAACTGGTGTATCAACTTCCAAGAGGAACAAAACTCTCGCTTTTGGGTCTTCTCCAAGCACCAAAATTTACTCAACACGTCAATCTCGGAGCTCTAACACTTCCAGTATCCCTCGGAAGTCGGCATACATCTCCTGAAACAGTTGAAGCACCTGATCCACTCTCCTCAACTGTTTCAAGGAAAGCTATGTCAAGGGGTTCTATTGCTTTACTGTTGGAGTCTGAACTTGATGAGTTAACCAGGATTGGAGGTTGGGTTGAGGTGAGCCAATCAAATCCTAAACATATGCAATGGGCTGTGTCAGTGTCTGATAATAGTGAAGATGCATTAGGTTGGGGAATGAGTTTAAGTGGGATCACTCAAGGCCCCTTAGACAGGAGTCAGTTTCAGGTTGAATCTTATGTCAAACTTAACATGAGTAAGAGATTCAGCTTAAAGCCAGGAATTGCATATGTGACAGACGGCGATGCCAAAATGATGGCCTTTCTAGTTCGATCTAACTGGTCACTCTGATATCAATCTTATGAAATGTGACAATTTTTCCTGCTCGTGTACGTTGAAAGAGGATACTGCTCGTCTGAAAGGTCCATATGTGCCTCCTTTGGATGTGATGTCTATATTCAGAACTCTTTCAAAAGGAAAAGTGAAGTGCTGCTTCCGGAAATTTTCCTCGCTGGTAAGGGACTTCTAACTCTATATGTGCTTAATCTCCATTCAACAAAAAGTTTGAACTTTCCTTTTATTTTGATGGGTTTGATTAAAGCTAAGCAAAAGTTTATAGGCATAATTGAAACTTTCATAAACATTCGTGGCGTCGCTTTGGGGACATCCAATAAAGATTCGTGGCAAACTAAGCATTACTCATTTTTTCTCTGAATTTGCAGGAAGCTTCTTCTCCTTGTTCCGAACCAGGATGGTTTCATGCCAAATTTGATGAATAATATCATCAGAGATGATTGTAGAAGAGAGCTTAGGAGTTAATGATAGAAGGCAAACGTCAGTGGAGAAATCATGTGATTCTACTAATCTTTCTTCTGGTGCTTAGATTTTCATCACATGTCAGTTCATCCCTGCATTAATACCTGTTAGAAACTTTATGGCAAACTATTAAATAAATTATTTTCTATTTGTTATAAGTTTTTGATTTCGGTAGTAATTTAACGAAACTTTTCTTTCTTTTTTCTTCTGGATGCCATTGCCTTTTCTAGTTAAAAATATTTTTCAACAATTTTTTATTTGTGTTAGTTACATGATAAAAATTATAAAAATACTTTTAAATATTTTTAGGGAAGCGTAAAATACTGCACTCAAGAATTATTTCAAATCCACCCTTTTTTTTTTCTTCCACATATTCCTAATTTATTTTGTCCAAATGACTTTCCCTACACAGTGCAGATAATGAAGTTTATTAAGAATGGACTCTTGTTTTTAAGTTAGAAAAGGCTCCATTATTTTTTTATACGACAAAAGCAAATAAAAATCGACTATTTACTCAATTATTTGAGAGTTTATGTTGAATTGTTATTCTTTTTTTTTTTTTAATAAATCCCTACAAAATTTGTTTTTAAGTAGTTTGTTAATTGTTTTAAAAGATTTTGGCATATCTGCTCTAGTTTTTTTTAAGCCCTCTCAAATTTATGGATTTTCTTATTTTCTGTGACATGGATTAGAGACATATGTCTTATTATTTTTCAAGCTCGTTTTATCTTTTGAAACCAATTTGAATTCTTAACTAAATTTCACTAACAAAATTACTTTTCTTTAATTTTTAAAAATTGGCTCGGATTTAAAAAATGCAGCTAGGAAATAAAAACTAATTAATAAAAATAACATTTACAAACTTTATTTTTCAAAATAGAAGACAAAAAATAAAATAGTCGTAGGAGATCTTATCTCAAATTTCTAACACCTATCATCGATATGTATGAATTAAAAATGTTTTTTGAAAGTAGGAGAGGAAAAAATAAATATCGGGTCGGTCCATATATAAAAACGGAGTGGGTAATGGGTGATTATATTCAAACCCATTCTGTGGTGAGTTTCCGTTTTGTTCCACAACTTCTCTGGTTTTGGAGACCTCGCCGAATCCTCCACAATCGAAATACGCGCACCATCATCATGTCTTCAGCAAGGAAGATCACCTTGAAGAGCTCCGATGGCGAGATCTTCGAGGTCGACGAAGCGGTGGCCTTGGAGTCGCAGACCATCAAGCACATGATCGAAGACGATTGCGCCGACAGTGGAATACCCCTCCCTAACGTAAACAGCAAGATCCTCTCCAAGGTCATCGAGTACTGCAAGAAGCACGTCGAGTCCCCCAAGCCCGAGGACCGCGCCGCCTCTGTCGACGACGACCTCAAGACTTGGGACACCGAATTCGTCAAAGTCGACCAGGCCACCCTTTTCGATCTCATCTTGGTTTGTCGATTTCTTCCTCTTTCTTTCTTCTTTTATCTTGGGGGCTCTGTTTTTATGCCCTCCGATTGCTTGTTTAGTCTTTTTTTTTTTTTGGTTAATTAGGGGTCTAGGGTTTCGTTTCGGTGCTTCTTTGATTTGGGGTTCGATTCTTTCGGTTCTTGCTTCGATGCTTACTTGGTTATAGTAGAAAGTAGATATCGCTATTTGTGTATGGGATATTGCTGAATTTACTGAATCTTGAAGACCACCTGCAGAAATAGATGATATGGATAGCTTTATTTTCTAGCGGGAGTCGCTAGGGGAGAACTCTTTTTTATTCAAGGGGTTTTGTATCGAAGGGCTTGATATATAAGGCGTTTGGTTCCGATCTTAGTTAGGAATTGTACCACTGAATCATGCGCTGTGTATTTCCTGTTTGTCGAATGATGATATTCTTTGACTACCAGGAATAGCCATACCGAGTAGTGTTCCAATAAACGTTCAACTTGTTTAAACTGTTCTATCCGATCCAATCTTTTTAAGTTTTGGGTGGGGCACGGTAGTATTGTTTAGTTTAGCAACTTTGGCTGAGGTAATTGGATATAAATTGCTTCTCTTCGGGTGGAATATGGGTGGTTTTCTTTTCTTTTTTTTTTTCCCTTGTCGAACTTGATCTTCCTGCATTGTTCAGATTTTAATATGAGTTTTTTACTGCTTCTGATCATTTGTAATAATATTTACTTGAAGGTGAAACCCCAAGTTTGTTTACTCATTTTGAAGTTTTTCTTTTTTGACTCTTGCTAATCATATGATAGTTATCCTGTCAAGTGTCATTCAATCATGTTTGTGTGTTTCTCTTTTGGTTATGGTTTGTCTGAAATTGATTGGTGGTTCTTAATTGTTTGTAATTGTACTCAGTTAATTACAATGTTTTAAAAGGCTAAAGGCGGCCTCGAGGCTTTTTCTCTTGAAAAGGCAAGGCGTAAGCCTCAAGGCGGTATGAGGCGTAAGCCTCAATTTTAATTAAAAGAATTAAACAAATCCTAAATTTGTGTGGTCAAGTATTACCAAACATAATAGTTATATAAAATTATCAAAATATCCACCTGTTACTTGTCACTCAAAAAAAATTCTAAAAAAACATCATAACATCACTACTATAAAATTCTAAAAAAACATCATAACATCACTACTATAAAATTCTAAAAAAACATCATAACATCACTACTATTATCACCAATAGAACTTACTTATTCTATAAATTATTGTCTTCAATATTTTTTATTTTTAAAGTCCAGGTAGTAAAAGTAGTAATAGATTGAATTGTTACAACTTCTGCTTAGGATTCCATACAAAAAAAACTTGATATTTTTTAAGAATTGGAAAAATTAATAGTATTCCTGTAATCATTACACGAGGCGTATACTTGAAGCCTCAGTGTGTTTTCAAAGAGGCGTAAGCCTCTTCTATGCGAGGCGTAAGCCTCTTATAGTCAAAAGAAGGTGTAAGACTTGAGGCTAAAAGTTAGAGCCTTGCCTCGAGGCGGGCCTCAAGGCGTAAGCCTCAAAAGCCTTTTAAAACATTGGTTAATTATAAGTTCTAATTTTTCATCATCTTTTGGTCAAACGAGTACTGAAAAGTTATTGTTTTGTAGTAGTATTTCCTTGAATCCACCTGATATATTTGGTTTATAAGATGTTAATTGTTTTCATTGAAAACTAAAAAAATTATGTTAGAATCAGTTGAACTGAATATATGGACTGGTTGGGTTTTGTAAGTTAATTGTGAGTGGAAAGGGTGAAGAATATCTATAATTATCCAGTTTCCCTTGAAATAGTTCCACTGTCCCGTTTGAAGCTCCCCCGAGTAGAGCCATCACTGTAATTTCTTGCTCTTTTTCATTCCCGCGATTGTTGGTTACTGGATATTCCCATCTCTAACTTGATATGTGATACTGAGACAGGCTGCAAACTATCTCAATATCAAAAGCTTGCTAGATTTGACTTGTCAGACAGTGGCAGACATGATCAAGGGGAAGACTCCTGAGGAGATCCGCAAGACATTTAACATCAAGAATGACTTTACACCCGAGGAAGAGGAGGAGGTTCGTAGGGAGAATCAGTGGGCCTTTGAGTAAAACAAAAAAAATAAACGAGCGAAACGCTTGTATGTTACTTTCTCTTGTTGCATGGTAACGTTTGATCTTTGTTCTACCTGTGTTATGCTAAACCTTGTGATGTCGGTTGGGTGTTTACTTCATTCTACAATCTGTTATATTATTTCATCCAACTTAACTGACTTCGGCATTTTTTTAATACAAGATGAACTCGTGGAGCACCCTTGTCTTCACAATTGTTCCATGAATTGTTTATTTTGATTGATTGTGCTGCTTCATGAATTGTTCCATTGTTGTCAACTCCTCTAGTATTGTTGCTGCTTCATGAGTAGTAGGCCAGTTCTAGTTTGCATCATTTAAATAAGCCTCGGATGCTGCAATAGTTGAAATATCTTGTAGTTGTAGAGAGGCCCTTGTTAGTGGAGCCAATAGTGGTAGTGTTGCAAAAGTGAGATGTGTGTTGAAGACTTAGGTTCTTTGTTATTACCTCTAGGTCTAGCTTCAATAAATTGAATCCATTGACACTCTTCGTCTTTAAGGTGATTCCCCACTCAATAGCAATTGTGTGGATAAAAAAATTTCCAAGTTTTTGTAGTACCTTAAATGATAGTGAAAGATTACATTCATTGATTAGGTGTTTGAAATGTGTGTTATAGAATCTTTGATTGAATAGGAGTTCGATCTCATGGAGAAATTATGCAAGGAATTGAACTATTTGAGAGAGAGTTTGAGATGAGCATCGATTCTTGAGTCGAAGAAAGTTGACTAACGATCTGTTTGGCATTTTGAGAATTGGTTAGAAATGGTTTCAAAGGAGGAGAAGAAGGAAGAGGGAATAGACCATTTGATCTGTGCTACTTTGGATGTCGACGACAAGGAGTCGTGGAAGACAGTGGTGGCCGGTGACATGTTGCGGCTCAAATGGTCGGGAGGGGCTCTACGTAAATAATTGACCATTAAATAATTCTTTTCGTAAAACTCACAAATTTCAACCATAAGATTCCACCTAAAATTAGAATCATTTTGATATTTTAAAATCCTAAAATTTAAAATAATTTTCATTCAATTCTAGATGCCAAATGTAGGGGGAAATTATAATATAGGCCAAGAGTTGAGACCTATTGTCAACTTCACAGTAGCGTCACCCACAACTTAAGACCTTGAGCATAGGTAAAAGATCTTTTTAACTCCTTTCACTCAGCTAAGAATTTGATAGTTCCAACTAACGCTTGAGAGCAGTTCAACAACTTCATTAAATAAATAAATGGTTGTCGAGATTGTCACCGTAATCATTGTCGTAATTCTCACAACATAAAGATTCCACCTAACCCATATAAATACACCATCGGTCTATCCTGTCAAGTATGCAATTCTGTTTGAAACCGATCTAGAGATTCAGACTTTGGACTTACTTGAGCGTCATAGTGCTTATTTTTTGCTTGCATGTCTTCSTGTTCAACTTGCTCTCCTTAGCTCACTTTGTCAGCTCGCTCACGCAAAAATTTCTAAGTTTCAAATTAAACATACTTCTTGTGAGTTAGGGGATTGAAAATATTCATCCCTCATTATGCATTAAAAATTTAATTAAAATATTAAAAAAAAGTTAGATATAATTATATTTTGCACTTCTAAAATTTTAATTTAATTTTCCACTTTCATCACCAATATTTCAATGAAAATTTTAGCCCAAAAGAGCAATGATATTTAAGGAATGGACAGAGGCACTTTTCTATTTTATTTTATTTTTTTTGGATTATTCTTAGTTTTAAGGTTATAATATATAACATATTATGCACTTGGACATAACTAAGTAGTTAGTAATTAGTGGTATTTTTTTAAAGTGGGTAAGTTTGGTTTCTCTTCCTCTTAATTATAATATACTATTAAAAAAAGTATGATTCCAATATTTTAAAATATCCAATAACAAGGTCAAATTATGGTTAGACTCAGCTCTCACACCTTGGAGCTTGCATTGTATATTAGACAACATTGAAAAGGTAATAGTGGTAGCAATAGCAAGTGAATTAAGCTAGTAAAGATAAATATAGTAGAGTTGCTCTCAAATAGATTTGGGGTTAATCAAAGGGACCTGATCTTGACAAAATTAAGCTAGTAAAGATAAATATGATGTAATATACTCATAATATTTTAAAAAGCTAAAGTTAAATATGATGATCATGACCATATACCTATTACTAGAGCCAACATCCTACTTATAAGTACTAGTAGTAGGAGAACGATGCTCGATGCTTATGGAATGTGTTAGGATTGAAGTATTTTTTAAATCTAATTTAATTATTCGACCAAACCCAACTATTAACTATTTGGAGTTAGAGTGGTTCTAGTTATTCGGATCAGAACAAATAAAAGTAAATGTTATAACATATATTTACATAAACGTTTAATTAAGATGCCAAAAGAATGATTGAATGAAATAAAACTAATATATATATATATGTAGGGTAAGTAAAAGAAATTGTTTTAAAATTAATAATAAGTCCAAATTTATTTTAAGTGAACTTTGAATCAACTCAACTCAACCTAAACAAGTTTATAATTCAATTGTTGCGGGCTTGGAAAACAACATCAAGACCTAACAAGTGGAAATCATAATAAATAGGGAGGAAACGACAATGCAGGGGTTCGAACATAGGACCTCTCGCTCTGATACCATCTTAAAAATGAACAAACCACCACTCCACCCAAAAGCTTAAGCTAATGAGTTGGGTAAATTTAATTCATTTATATGGATTCTAACACACGTCAATACCATTTAATATTAATATGAGTTACATCGGCATTAAAAGATTATTTATATAAAACAACAAATAAAATGAGTATATACTAGTATTTGACGAAGTAGCACAATTGAGATCGTCGTGTCGTGTCGTCAACGGTGGCTAATCGGACTTCCCTAGCAACGATGGATTCGAGATCGGGGCACGTGTAATTATAGTAATATGGTAGGCTCAAGGCGTAGAAGTTTTTTGGGATTTTGCAGCTGTGTCTCATACGCGGAGAATGGTGCGTGCGAGAGACAATAACGTGTGGAGAAAGTGATAAAATAACGAATGGATGCAGCCGGAGGCTAAACTACTACTACACAACTGCCACGTGGCTCCTTCTCCTTTTCTTCTGGACTTCTCTCATCTTAATTTACACCAATCCTCACGAAACCCTTATTTTATTTTTATATATATAACACAGCAATTCCAAAATTCTTCTCATTTTTTTTCTGTTCTGTTATGTTTTCCACAAACATGAAAAATCCCCTTTCGACCTCCCTCTCATCTACCATCTTTAATAAAACAGGTCAGTAATATAGATTTCCGTTATTATTACTCATTTTCCAATTTATGTGATGTTTAAATCAAGTGTTTTTTTCTTTTCGTGATTGAACAAAAAATGACAACAAAATCAAGAAACAAGAAAAGTTACCAAATTAGTCCATATATAATTTTTTTACCCTTTTTTTCCATTTGATCTTCATATGTCCATAATTCTATCAAATTTTATAAATTAAAATTAAAAACAAAAATCTTATATCAACTGTAATTGTAGCTCGCTTCTAAGAAATCATAGGTTAAAACAGAGGGAGAAAAATAATTGTAGTGTCGTGGAAGAACTACTGGTTTTGAAAGTAATTTCGACTACAATGCTATATCTCTTATTCTGTTTAAAATATAAGTTATTTTCGACTGAAAGTTATTTTTTCTTATTTTATTTTATTGTACATTAATTTCAATATAATATCATCGATCTTTTCCATCCAACCATTCCAATTGGAAAATAATCCCTAATATATATATATATTGATTCGTTTATTTGTAGGTTTTGCTTCTGGCGTTGATCATCTTAATCATTAATCCGAATGATAATATATTTTTTTTTTTTGTTTTAATATTTTGGTGACAATTAATCTCAGACGACAGATTAGAAAAGAACAAGGTTAGAAACAATGGGTTATGGAGAAAGTCAAACGTTAAGGAAGAATACGAAGCAGCCTTCAGAACAAACTCTTACATTGAAATCACAACCCCCACCGACGACACATCGTCCGCCCCATGTCGGCTCCAACCAGACCAAGACCTAATTCTCCACGACATGTCGTTCCAGAGCTCCCATATTGATCATCATCTTCTTGTTCACTACTTGGAAGCCAGTTTTCAAGCTTTTGAAACCTGCCAACTTCTCCTCCAAGCCCTCCACCAAACGAAGATCAGCCACGCCATTGCCAAAAGATCAGTCGTCAATTACCTCACAAGAAGGGCTTCAACGGTGGACGACGACGATAACGGCAATAACGGCGACGGCGACCGTGTTGTTTATGGGGAGTTGGCTTATTTTTCCCACCTCGAAAACCCTTTCTCCATTGCCAGCCATGCCCATTTTCTTGCCTTACACGACACCCATTTGGAGTTGCTTCATGACCTAACTCACAAACGAAATCAGGCTCGAAGAAAGTTGAGGTATGTTTGAAGTATATAACTTAAATCTCATTTTTGTCCCTTATTTTAGGTTGATTTTTGATAGTTGAACTTTCATATTTATTATATTTCGGTGGTTACATTTTTACAATGTCTATTTTAGAACTTGAAATTTTGAAAAATTATCTTTGTTCTGCTTTCAACAATTAGATATGTAATTTCAAGTGTATTAAGGTGTTGATATAAGCACATATTTTTGTGTTACACGGGTCGATTGAGATTAGTATTGGATGAATAAGGTTTAGGTAGTAATAAAAATAATAACAATGACGAAGTAGACATTTTGAAAATTTAAGAGTCAAAATAGACATCTTGAAGGGTTCAATAACCAAAATAATTATAAATTTTAGAAGCACGTGATAGACAGCCACAAGAAAATAATGTAACTTGTATTAAAAATTCACCCTAAGATAGAAAAAAAACTTTGTTCACTAATTCTCTTAAAACTCCCTTTTTTTCTTTTACATACATACCCTTTGCATCAAATACTCCAAAATTAATCCTATTTATAGTTTTTGGAAAAATCTAGATCTCATATTAACTTCCATCATCTCATACGGTGTACATGAACCCCCGCAGTTTTATCCATCTTAAAAAAACTAAATACATGAATACTTAATTAACTTCCTAGGTTCATATACATATATATTATGTATATCCAGGATATAATTAGACGTGTTTAATTTTCAACGTAAAAAATTTGAAAATTCAAGGACAAAATTAAATAAATAAATAAAATCTTGAAAATTTTGGGACTATAATAAAATTTAAACTTAAATTTAATTGTTTATTATTATTTTTTTCTTGTGAGAAAATTAAAAAAAGAACTTACCTTGAGAACCTATGGAAAAAGTCATTTGTTAAAATTCATATTATTCTTATTAAAACAATCTCCTTTTACTTGTGGGGTTATAAATTTGCACAGACATTAATACTAATTGGGGAGAAGACAATGAAATTATTGAAGTTCGAAAAACTTAATTTTCTCTACTTTATAAGTTATATTATATCATATTAAATCATATCATTAAACCCTAAGCAAATAGATTATGATAAATTTAAATGATTCATATGTATTCTTAACCAGGTTGAAAAAGATCTGGAAGAAATTGGGCAGAGCTTGTTTTGTGATATCAAATGCAGCGGTTTTGGGCGCTCTGTTGGTTCTAGCTCTACATAGTCTCATCGGAGTAGTGGCGGCACCAGGGTTGATCAGTTGCTTCGTAAGCTTACCGAAGAAGAAAAGAGATGGTACGCCTGTTTCGTCGGAGCTCGTCCTTCGACAAATGGAGATTGTGATGAGAGCGACGTATATAACGATGAACGACTTGGATACGTTGAGTCGAATGGCAGCGAGGCTCGAGGGTGAGATGGAGCATCTGAGAGCCATTGGCGAGATGTGGATGAGAAGCAGCAGCAGAATAAGAAGTGAGATATTGAAGGAGGCTGTTGCAGAAGATGAGGCCATTGTGGAGCAAATGAAGGAGCTTCAACAACATATCTACTTGTGTTTTCTTACCATAAATAGGTCTAGAAGGCTTGTTATGAAGGAAATTATTATGGGAGATAGGGATCAAAATGGGTGATGAATATACTAGCCAGATCAATTCATTTATTTTATTTGTTTCTTGGTTTTAGTTTTAGAACTATTCTTTGGGTTGGGTTGGAGTTTGTTATTTCTTTTTTTTTTTATTGAAAAAAGAAAGAGAAATAGATAATTAAGTAATCATTTATTGTTCCTCGTTACTTTACAATTTAATTTTTTTTATATGAATAAAGAAATTTAAAGTTAAATATTTAATTTTTTATGTTATATTTAGTATTAATATTTATTGTGACTTTTCTAAGTTACTAATAATAAAATCATGCTTTTATTTATATTTCGGGAAAAACTTGAAATGGAATTAAAAAACTTATTTTATATGTTAGATTTTTTATTTTGTTTGGGGGAATTCAAACAGATTTCTTTAATAAAGAAGAAAGTGCGAAATTTTTATAAGGAAAATTAGTGGAAAGAAGATAACATTTTTGAAACAAATATATTTAATGTTGGATGGGAAAAAACAAGTTGCTCTGCCTGTGCCCACAATTTTAATTTCTTTTTGGAGAGGGAAACAGAGCCAAAAAGATAGATTAAATAAATATATCAATTCTTATCTTGATCTTTTTATACTTTTTAAATTGTGGATTCTTTGTTATATCTTTAAATTTTCCATTCTAAATTTCTAATTCTTGAACCATAGTCCAACTATATGTGCTAATACATTGTTTTATGTTGAGTGCAAGCAAGAAAATTTATAAATAAAGACTAAATTGAATTGTTTATGGTTATTCAAATATTAAAATAAAACATAATTTAAAAATTAATAAAAATAAGGAAAATTTATGTGCTGTGATATTTATAAATATAACAATAAGATTAAGATTTTACAAATATAAAAATTTTATTTAATTTTTTTGTGCATTTTTGGACCTTTAATCAAAACGTCGTGAACTTGAGTCTCCACCCACACATTGTATATAAAAAAGAGAGACTATAATTACATAAAAAAAGAAAAAGCAACACTTCACTCAATAAATTCTTTAAATATTACAATAAATTTGTATTAAATAATTTGTATTGTGTATAGAATTTGTGTTAAAATTTTGAAATAAGGATAAAAAATGATCACTTCTTAAAATAGACTAAAACAAACATTTGTATTTAAGTACAGTGACGAAAATAAATGAAAGTTAAAAAAGTATATTGATCAAAACAAATATTTTGAAAATACGAAAATCAAAAATAAACTAAAGCAAAAAGATAACCAATATAATTTTTATTTATTTTTTATTTTTGGAGAAGCTTAAATTTATAATTCAAACTTTAAAAAAATGAATGGAACACGTGAATAATAATGGTTAAAGTGGATGGGTGCGAAACTTACGTGATAGAGACAGAGACGTGCCCGCATACGGACTAATTATAACTTATTAAGGATAATATTGTTTTTATATCAATAATAATTTAATTCATTAATGATTGATTAATTTTCCATATAAGAATTGCAAACGACAAAATTATTGTTATCTTTTTCCATATGAAGAATAACAATAAAAAATCTTCGTAAAAAAGAAAAAAATAGTTTAAATACTATTTTGAAGGATGTGATTTACACTTTAGTTCATTTTGGTTCATGTAATTTTAAAATATTTATTTTGTCTATGTATTTTCAAAATATCTATTTTGATCTCTATACTTTAAAAAGTGGTCATTTTAATATCTTTATTTTCATTTTTATCATATTTCTTTTTATCTTAATTTTATCATAACACTCCCCCACTAGATTTCTTGAATTTAAAAGCAATAGATTTGATTTAAAAGGTTTCATTGTCCATAAAATTTGTGTTAAAATTTTAAAAATTGAGACTAAATTGGTCATTTTTTAAAAGTACATGAACAGAGACGTTTTGAAAATATCAAGATTAAAGATTAAAAATAAACAAAAATAAAAAGTGCATGAATCCAAACAAATATTGTTGGGAGTACATGAATAAATGAAGCAAAAGTGATCACCAATTTAACTAGTAATAAATTAATAATTAAAAATGTGATAATAAAATAATTAAAATTAAGTTCCCAAGAAATAGAGTAGGTGGCTTAGAGCTTCAAGATATATCTTTGAAGTCTTGGATTTATGGAAAAAATGATCCATTGAGAATAGTGTACATACGCCCAAGTCTAGGGGCAAAAAGGTCAAACTAATAAAAAAAATTAAAACTAAATTTATATAGTAAATAGTAATTAATTAATTATTTGGTATTCTGCATTTTCATCACAAGATTCATTGGGAGTTACGAGGGAAAGCTGCACGGGACCCAGCTGATCCGCGTCAGACCAACGCCAGCACTCAAGTTTCCAAATATAAACAATTAATATTATAATTTGGTTTGTATTTTAATTTAGTCTATATAATTTTATATGTCTTAAACTGGACAAAATCTATGTTTTAATTCATGATGTTTTTAGTTTTTTCTTTTTTAATTTTGTTCCTATCATTTAAAAACATTCAATTTACTCTTTACGTTTTATATATTTCAGTCAATAAATATTAAAATTTGTCGATGATAGGTTTTCATGATAAGATATTTTATTGAGTTGATAAAAATTTAGAGAAAAATTCAACCCTTGACAGAAAAGTTGAAATTATGTTACTTTTAAAAATTTGGGGGATAGATTAAAATATTTCATTTCTTTTGGTAACTTAATTCTCTCTCAAAATTTATTCCAACTCGTTAAGTATTATATTATGTAAGTTAATTAGTCAATCATGAATAAAAATAGTATAATTGAAAGTAATTAAAATTAATACATATTAAATAATTTAGATTAAATCGTTGAAAACTCAAGCATACAAGATTAAAACATATATTTAACCTTTTTATTTGGTCTCTATTACTCTATATGTTTTTGTTAAAATTTTCAGAGTGTCCGCAACATTCCAATAAATATTGGGATCCAAGATCTAGATTTAAATGTATAAAATTATTTATTTAATTTAACCATATATGAAGGTGTAGATTCAAATTTCTAACCTTTTAATCGAGAATAAATGTTTTAACCAGCTACGTGCATTAGGTTTGATTGGTTAAATGTATAAAATTGTTAATTATATTATTTTTAAGCATAACCAATAACTTCATTTATAAGAGTATATTTTATTTTTGTTAGAAATGTAACTAAAATTTTACGGTATATAAGTGAATGACTAAATTTACATAAATATGAAAAGAAATATATTCTTAAAAGAAAAAACAGTTATATTTATATATTTATATTGAAACAAAGCCAGCTCGATGTTGTTGAGTACTTCATTAACTATTGGTGTCCCCTTTCTCGAGAAAAAGGGATAAAGTCATAGAAAGAAGGAATATTGATGGAACTTCCATGGGAAAATTTCTAGTCGGGCCCTCCGCTACTTCAACTTAAATTGTGTCATGTATGAATGAGTATTATTATTATTTAAATAAAAATATTTTTAGTTTTTATGTGGGATCTATGGACAAAATTGATCAATGAAGATCCCACATTCTCTCTTAATTAATCATACATTCTCTCTCTTATTAAATATTTTAGATGTTATTATTTATTTTCACTTTTCTAATTTATTCGTCTTTATTTACATCTTCACTTACTTCTCTCATTTTCTATTTTTATTTTGTAAAATTCACTCACTTCTCTCTCTTCTATTTTTATTTTTTGGAAATTTTCTCCATTCAAACTAAATTTCTTGTTTCTTTTTTCTTAATGATTTCTACTTCACCATGATTTTTCTATTTAATTTTTATTTTTCTTGTTTTTTATTATTATTTTTATTTTAAAATGATGAATTTAAAAAAATGTAAATAATTAAACATAACATAGGTAGAGATTTACTTTTTCGGGTGAGGATGAATACATATAAATATTTTTATGGATTCAATAAAAAATTAAAAAATATATAAAATGATTAGAATGTAATAGAAAATAATAATAATAAAGAACAAGAAAAATAAAAAAATAAATAGAAAAGTCATACATAATTTAAATTGTGGAGTGGAAATCGTTAAGAAAAAGAAACAAGAAATTAGTTTGAATGGAGAAATTTTCAAAAAAATAAAAATAGAAGGTGAGAGAAATAAGTGAAGATGTAAATAAGAATAAAGAGATAGAATAAATTAGAAAAATGAAAATAAATAATCACGTCTAAAATATTTAATAAGAGACAGAATATAGGATTAATTTAAGAGAGATAATGTGGGAGAGTGGTTGATCAGTTTTGTCTGTGGGTTCATATAAAAACTAAAAATATTTTTATTTAAATAATAATAGTACTTCTTTACACATGACATAATTTAATAGTTCCCCTACTACGGGAGGACTAGAAATCTTCCCGAGCTTCGACCACCAATTTTTTTGTTCATATGTCACTGACTTACTATATTGTTTAACAAAAATAAAATTATTTTAACTAGTTTGAACCATGTTTACGTATTTATGTAATTTGATTTAAATATTTTCACACTTATTTAATTTCAAAATAAAATTAAAAATAACTTTCAATGATCATAAAAATGAATTCTCCCATAAAAATACATGTGTATTGCTTTGAACCTTCACTTTCATACATTACTTTCGAAAAAGAAAATAATAAGAGGAAGAAAAATCCAACCCCATTAAACAATTTCTCGAAAGAAACAAACTGTACCCGTTACCCAATCAATTTGAACAACAAACCTTGTTCATATACTAAATATATAGTATCATATAATTCAAAGCCAAGCATCTCCTTTATCACTCTCTTCAGCTGAAATAACTCCCACCCAAATAATAAAGAAACAGAGAGATCATCAAAATGATCCATACATTAATTTTCATCTGATCACCCTGCAGTTAAGCCGGACCTCTTCTCCGGCGCCGGCGATGCGGCTCATCTTCACCATCGACTTCACAAACGCCTTCTCGAACCGCTGCTGTTCGTCGGCGAACTTCGACACCAAAGCCTTTGTTTTCGGGGTCGAAAGCAGCGATTGATCAGAAGAGAAAACGCTCCGCCCTTGAAGAATTAGCTTGAAATATGCATTGTCGAACCTCGTCGAAGTTGAATCCAAGGCGGAGCCGGCATTTTTCGCCTTGTTGTGCGCTGGACATGCGCTCCGGAGGCTGGCAGCGAATGCTGGCTGCAGCGACGGGTCAACGTCGAGGCTGGAGTTGAAGTTGTGGATTCTGTTTTGGAACGACGAGCAGTGGGCGAATCCAAGAGTGTGGCCGCCTGAAAAAAATTAAATATATTGTAACCTATTTATTTTTCTTAATTAATATTGATAATCACACTCGTCAAAAAAAATATTACCTGAGAGAGCAACGAGATCTTCTATGGAAAGACCTCTCTGTGAGAAGCTTTGTTGGAGTTGAGAGAAGTTGAAGGTGGGAGCAGGCAATTGTCTGGTTTCAATTGCTTTTGAAATTCTTCCATCTTTTCTTCCTTTTGGGACTTCCCAATGAGGACCTCCAGACTGGTTTCAATGGCAAATCATTAAAAATTCAAGCTTCCTATAGCACAAAGATGAGTGTTTTTTTCAAATTACCAAAACAACCGCGTCACGAGCAGCAAGGGCTAAGATGTCAGCGCACGAAACGACGCTTGGGCAGACCGACTCGATGGCTTTCTTGGCATTGTCAATGACATAAAAAGCATGCAGCGATATATTGGGAGGACCATCTTTTTCTGCAGTGTTCTTCCCCTTCGAGTCGAGAAGCACAGAGCCATCGCAACCCTTCACAACAAAAATCTCATATAATCAGAACTGGAACATTAATAATTATGTGGCCAACAATTTTATATCATTATTGAAGATATAATTTCGAATAAAATTTTCATCTTTTTTCGGTTGCTTACTCTAATGAAACAGTCATGGAAGTGCATTCGAAGCAGTGCAGCTGGGACGGTCTTGTCGTTCACGGTGGCCAAGTGGACTTCTCTAGCGACGATTGACTCGAGATCGGGGCATGTGTGGTCATAGAAGCGGTAGCTCAAGGCGTCGAGAGAGGGAAGGAAGGAGAAAGCAAGGAGAAGAAGGGTGAAGAGAGACATGGGGTTGAAGCTTTTTGAGTTTTAATTGAAGATAGAGCTTTAAATGGGGGATGGAATGAGATGTTGACTAGTGAGGAGAGTATTTATATGTATGGAAAGAGAGAGAGAGAGGGGAGAAGCAAGTGAGAGTGGTTATGGAGAGGGAGATGGTTGTTGAAATATTTGGTGATCCAAAACCACTATTTGTGTGGAGTTGTGTGATGTTAAAGCAAACAAATTGATAGGGGGCAATTTGCAGAAAAGTTTATTTTTAGGGTTACCTTATAATTTGTGATTTGCTCGCSTCTCAACTATTTTGGTTTCAACTAAAAGACCTCGTATCAACAGAGATCTTAAAATTGAATTACAAGTTTGAATCTCTCAATTTTTAATGTTGTGTTTTTAATAAGTATTTGAACTTTAAAACATATACGATAGGCCGTTCTTATACTTTTATTTTGTATTAATTGATAGATCCCTAACCTATTAGACATTTTCTTAAAAAAAATTAGGAACCTAACTAGCATAAAATTGATAAGTTAATGAGCTACTAGATACGAAAATTCAATTGAAAAAAAGAAACACGACGATATTGAATTTTAAAAAATGTCTAATAAGTTAGAGATCTGTAAAAATCTATTAAATTAAACACACTTAAAAATTAAGAGATTTATTAGACACTCCTAAAGTAATTTTATTATAAGAAAAAGGAAAAGAAAAGTCAAACCATTAATTTGTAGGTTATTGGTGTACCTTCATGTGTAAAATAATCTGCTTGTCCCTAACAATCTTATCCAAAATTCTCGATTTACTCCTTAATCTTTTAAGACTCTTAATTTGGCTGAATTGAAAATTTAATTCATTCCAAAAAAAAATAAAAATGTTAAAAGTTGTTAGCTAAAAGCTTATATTTCATTAAATTATTGTGTTATTAATATATTTAGACACGTGGCATATCGCTTAGACACGCTACTAGAAAAAAATGAATTTTATCCATAGATGAGTAAGATTTTAACAATGAACGAGTTGAATCTCACCTGTCATATAGCTTTCGAGTGACATRTTTATTGTGTTCAAATATGTTAATAAAATAAGTAAATATGAACATAATATTTTTTCCTACCCATGAGATCCGAAGTTTAAGATGCTATATAGCTAAGTGAATTGAGAAGGGGCTTGAACCTCTAACCTCAAAAACAGGAGTATAAGCACGTGTCCGAGAGAATTATATTTATGTTGGTCCTCAATTTCTTCCATTAAAAAAAAAATGATGAAGTGAAGGGAGGTGGGTAAGCTGTCAATAATCCCTTTTTTAACGACTCCTCAATCACCAACTCCAATAATTAGCTTTTTTATTAAAAGAAAAAAAAAACTACAATAGTTAACTAATTATCAATAATTGGATTTGACTACAACCCCTCAGCCACTCACCTTCTTCCCTTTTTATTCTATTTTATATCATCATTCACACTTAAAATAAATATATTATAAATTTGCGTTTACTTTTTTTTTTTAACCTTTTTTACTCCTCAAAAAAATCTAGTGGATATTTTTCTTTTTAAGTTCAATAATATAGCATGATGTCGGATCCATTTGAACCAGGTTCAAAAATTGATCTTTGATTTGATATCTTAAATTATAATAGAGAATTGCTTATATATTGAGCAACTTTTTAGAGACAAATTAAAAATATTTATTTTATACTCAAACTCTAATTAAACATGTCATTTTATAATAAAAATATTTTTATTTTATAAATTTAGTTTTGGCCTTTTTTTTGTTAGAGATGAAGTTATACTTGGAAAAAATTGAAGTATTATTTATTACGGATAAAATATAATAGGATAAATTGAAATATTACTGTATAATTTTTTTTTTTTTGGAAAATATTATTGTATAAAAATTAATTCAATATTGTCAAAATTTTATAGAGATATGATATTTTTTTATGCATAATCAATATTGAAATTAATAAAATAAATTTAAAAAATGAAACTATAAAAATTTAAATGCACTCATTAGAGAACTTAAAAAGTTAATAAATGCCAAAATTTTGAGAAATTCTTCTAGATGTTAGAAGAATTCCTTATGGATTTGAATGAAAAAGGAAAATGAAACTTTGTTAATATTTGTAATAACTTAAAAAAATGACGCGGGTAGAGTCTCAACATTTCCTCGTATCATTTTAAGAAGTAATTATTAATTTGAAATTAAGAACTAATGATGAATAAATAAAGAAAATGAACATTGTGTTGGACTCAATAACGTATAAACATAGCACCCTCGGGTGTTGGTGCAGTGGCTAGAGGCTACACCCAAGATCCAGGTTCGAATTCTCCTGTGTCTAGAAGTCAAAAAAAAAAAAAAAGACGTGGAAACCTATGTTGGTTTTGTTTTTTCTTTTTATTTAATTAAGGTTTGGTCTCCTCTCATTACAACCACAAATACCTCTCTTGTACAACTTCTCACTCCCCTTATTTCGTAAAATCACAAATACCTCTCTGGTTCATTTGTTGTTTTTTTTTTCAAATTTACTATATATCTTTTTTATTTAAATTTATTGTATTTTTTAATTCAAAATTTCTATATTTTTTTCCAAATTTATTGTATATTTTTTTAATTTAAATTTATTGTGCCTATTCAATCCCACTTATTTATGTTTCAAAAAAATACTTTTTCTTTTTGTTACAAATTTGTTTTTCTTCAATTATTCAACAAATAAAACATAATATTTTTTTCACAATACAAGGTACAAATCATAGAAAGTCAAACTTTAAAAAAGAAAATTCTTTTCATTTATCTTTTTTCCTCCTCTTTTACATTAAATAACAACGTCTACTCTCAATAGTTCAACTAAATCAAGATGTCAAAAGTAATTTAATAAGTCGATATTTATTCTCTTCTCGATGGTAAGGTATCTTGCTGGCGTGGTTTCTTTAGACATAGCAATTTAATTAAACATTTGAAAATAGGTGGTAGTAGAGAAAAAACAATAAATGATAAGAAAAAATAAAAGGCAACAAACTTTGTTGTACCTTTAAATTGTGGACATTGTTGGGAGAGAGAAAAAAGAGGAAAAAAAAAGAAATATTTGATGAGATATTAATGATATTCAGTTTTAATTAAATAATAATAAAGAATTAGAAAACCAACACATGTAATACGGGAGGAGTGCTCCTATACCATTCAGAGCCAAAAGATTTTTCCTAAAATTTTTTGTAGCGCAACAAAACATGTGGCTGAAAAGTCGACGTAGTGGAACAACATAAATTTGACACGTGGCAATATTTCGAGGAAAATATAAAATATTTGATACTTCACGTTCTCACGCGCCATTTGGCAGTGGAATACACGGGCCTCGCGTTCTTTCTTCCAGGCTCACGTGACGTGCAGACTTACCCTTCTGCTTGTGGGATTTGCTCCATCGCATGCTCCAGAATTCATTTTCCCTATTTTCTTCGATTTTTTTTTATCCATTTTCTCTCTATTTTTTTGTTCATTTAATAAATTCTCCTACCACATATTTATCGTATTAAAAAAACTAAAATTAATTATCTTAAATCAACTGCAGTTCCTTTTCTAATTTACTTTCTCAATTAAATAGGTTGCCCATCCTTTCTTTTATATATATATATATATATTTTAATAGGTAGATGTATGGCATCGAACTTACAATTTTTTGATGGAAGATATATACCAATTACTACTAAGTTATATTCGCTTTAGTCTCTTAAGGGTAACGTTTATTTTATTTCACGTGAGATAATTTATATTTAAGACATTAAATTATTTTAGTCAATGTTAAACTTGTAGATCTACTTTGTAGATAGTTTGTCTTTTGTGAGAATTTTTTTTATTAAGATACGAAAAAAGCATTTAACCCTGTTAGAAGGATATGACAGAGAAGTTGAATTTTTAACTTTCAAAAAGATCGGTAGAGCTTTGATTCTTAGTCCATATTACAACTTACAAGAATCAAAACATAAGTGGCGAACCTAAGATTGGAAATAAATTTGGGTTGAGCCATAAATTTGATGGACCATCAAAATTATCAAATCTCCACTAATTTTTTGAAGGAAAGAAATTCGACGAGACCTGCAAAGTAGAAAGATTACGTATTGGTGTTGTGCTAGTCACACACATCCATGCTTAAGTCAGATTTGGAGTTTTATGTAAAGCGTAGCAAGGAGTACAGTTTTCTGTGAAGTTTCTCAGAGATGGTAGAAAGTTTAAAATTGATAGAATTAATATGATATCTTCTTCTTTTGAATTTATTAGGTAAGGATAGTTTTGAATCTTTAGATCATGAGGACGATTCGAATTCGTATATCTCAAAATCTTCTTTCTTTGGGGGCTCCTATCAAGGTTGTCAAATTTTATGAATAAAATTATTTTTATTAAGAATAAAGAATCACAATTTTTCATGAAATAATATGTCTTTTTGTAAATGACATAATCGTATATGAAAGGATATATCTTTTTTATCAAAAAACATAACTTTATATGAAAAAGACGTGACTATTTGAATTGTCACAAATAGTCTATAAATATGTTGTTCTTTTCAGTCTTGAGATACATAAAAATCTTCCCTCAAAGTTCTCTTCATTTTCTCTGTATGATTACTTAAATGTGGGTGTTTGTTGAGTCATGTGATTGAACTGCTGCACTCACAAGTTGGTAATCCATCATATCATATGAGACAATTATTCATCAAACCTTGAGTACTAGGGAGGGAACAAATTTGTCTTAAGGAAACAACGCTACTGTTGGGTTTGGATTGGTTAATTTTGTGTTTCCTTAATTTCTCTTCATGTTTTTCTCTAAYAGAGGTAAGACGAGTTCATGTGACTTGTTCATGACTATCAGAGGATGATCGATCGAGCCACCAACACTGAGCCAACCCAACCAAAGATGGTCTTGTGGGTTGACCAAGCTGAGCAGACCAACTGATCGAGGTTAGTCAGCCTCGAGGCTCAAGAAAGCAACCCAGGCTTGGCCAAGCCGACCAAGTCTGGTGGGCTACAAATTCTGATCAAAGTCAACTGGCCGGTCCACAAGTTTGCTTCGGTCTTTGGTTGGGTTGGGGCCACTTCCTTAGTGTCGGCCTTTGAAATTCTCAGGGGCCCACTTGATATCCAGGCTTGGGTTTGTCAGATTTTAGTCTTGCTTTACTTCACCATAACAAGAACCAGAGCAACATTCATTTAATAGGTGTTCCATTCCGCATACCTTAATTAATTCAATTTGCTACCAAAAAAAGGTCCATAAAACATAACTTAATTAGCATTATCATGATCTTATATCAAAATCGTTTACATTCTGTCACAACTTGTACACAATTGGGAGAGAGATCAGACGAACACAGAGAAACTTTTGACAATTAAACACAAAGCAAACTTGTCGAATATATATTATAAATATTTGTTGTAAAACTAATATTACAAATTGAGTTTCAAAAAGGAAAAAAGAAAAAAAAAACCACTTTTATATCATATGAGTAATTAAAGATCGGCTGAAAATTGAAAGTCCCATGAGTGAACAATACAAATACAACGCCATGGCGGGCTGCTTCCGTAGGTCATTAAAAAACCCCACTTGGCTCGCCTCAGCCACTCCGATGGGCTCAGCGGAATTGGACATTGGTTGCAAAAGTTTGGCCAAATCTCCAGCCAGAGGGCACCACGTTGCTGAAAACTTGGGTCTGCCCATCGCTGGTGGTGAGCTTGAAGGACAAAGATTGGCCATTTAGGTAAGAATTGGACTGCCAATTGGCCCCCCAATTCCTTGACATTGGCATCCAGTTGGTTTTTGAGCCCTTGATGGACACCGATTGGAGGGACCCAGCTCCTCCCACGTTGCTTATCAAAACTAGCTCGAAGTAGTCTCTGCCATTCACTGTGAATCTCACACCTCCACTCTTCGCGCAGGGAACCCTTCAGTTCATCATCGTAATGCAATGGAATAATTAGTAAACCAAAAATGACAATT